TTGTAGCGGAATGAAGTGGAGGAAGTGGAGGCATGCAGTTATTTGATTTAACTGGCTGGCGAATGTTCAGGATTTGAAAGAACAAACATATGCGGCATCTGTGACACTGCTTGGATTTGTATAATTTGGACAAAATGCGCATCGGAAATACCGCTAGAATGAGGCAAGTCGTTCAGAGGACTAGGAGAATTCCTTTTAGATCTTAACACAAAACTCAGATTAACCCTGTGGGATGTAGAGCCACTGTAGTGCCATGAACGAAAATAAGAAATGTTGAGTGAAAGCAGGGGCTGTTACGAGGTGAGCCCTGTGATTTGATGCAAAATTAGTTTTTCTATTAAATTTTTCAGGATGTATCACAAACAAGTCATGCAGGTTTAAGTCATGCAAGACTGTGGTCTAGGAACCCCATTTGGTGGTTCACAAAAAATTAGCGATTAAGGTGTCCATTGACGCACGAGAGCGAGATTTCTCACGGCTGAAGTAGTCTCCAATCGCGACAGGAGGAAAGGCATATTTGAACATTTTGAGGAGTTCCGAATTTATTTACGAGCATCCACCCGTTCGCAGATCGAGGCATATACATTCTCTTTAGTTAGCTCCTAACTCATCATGGTCTAGGTCAACCACTACTGACGAAATGGGAGTATCCGCTACATTTTGAACCATTCCATCTGCTGAGTATAAACGATTCAGGAAAATCACGGATATAAAGACTCTCCAAGATTTGTTTATTATTAGTTTTGGAAAACATTTACTTCAGTATTTATGCTGTTGCCCATACAAACCGACAAGTGTTTCACAGGGACCTGTTGCTTCAGTTTCGATTAGACCTGTATACTTTTATTGAGTAGTTTATGAATGATTGAACAAAATTTCTCGATAAAGCGGTTTCGCGTTCATTGCCGCTCGTCAGGTATGCGTATCCCGTAATCTTCTGTCTGGTCATTCCTATACCTGAACTCCTCATGTGAATCATGTAATACGAATCTGGTTGAGTATCTCGGAGAGTGAATTTGAGACGAACAAGTCTCGAAAGAATCATTGTGATGAGTCTGTATGAGGTGTTAGGCTTTAGCTGTGTCTAACCTTAGCCAATTCGACGCTAGGACCGATTTCCAGTGTTTTTATAATGAACAGTATGTGAATGATTTGACGAAAACATTTCCAGTTTGAAGAAACTTCATCATTTAAAAAGGTTGCACCAAGAATCTCACTACTTGCGCACTTTATGTGTTCTGCTCATACCGGTGGACAAACACACACGTGACCCAACTTGTAAACGCAAAATCATTGAATAGTTGGCAAGATATCTTACCGGATGCTTTCCTAGAGCTATGAAATGCCAAGTAATCAGTGATCGTGTTCAAGTAATTCAGTGTATATTTTTGAATAAGTTGCCGCATTTGACAATAATCTAATTGCCCAAGGAGGCTGTACCTCGGAGATTGAAAAAAATGGATAGGAAAAAATTGGGAAATAAAATCAGTGCATAAGTGACTGTGAAGTAAACACTGTGTTTCGTTGGAAGGCAAGAACGTCATCGAATTCAAAGAGCCCACCACAAACTGTTGTGACAACTGGCCAAGAATAATAACACGATGGTACTACAAAGATATCCCGGATCACCACAGTTTGTCTCTCTATTCGTTCTAATCTCACAGGAAAGCAAAAAATCAATGTGCATCAATCTGCTTTCCAATATTAAGCAATTCAACACTTACACTTTCCCGCCTCTGCCCGGGATGTTCGCACTCCCCGACGAACTGCTCTCCAATTGATCCGACAGGTCAGAATTCGAAGTTATCGATGTGTAATATTGTGGAACGGGTAAACTGGAAGGCGAGAATTGCATTGTGTATTGTGCAGTGTCGTGAAAACTGGGAGCGCGTACAATTCAACTAGAAGAATATTCACCCACTCATGATGGATAATGGAAAATAAGTAACTCTAATTAGACTTACTGTTACTTGTGAGTGGTGGTTTGGGATAATCGATATCGATTTGACCTGATCATCCTTCAGAGTTCGTCTTTACAGACAATCCCCAGATAATCTACTCAAGCATACACTCGGAAGCACTAGATTCGAGTTTCGCTCTCATTAGTGCTCATCAGTAGCACTCATCTACCGTCCCGTCCGGGGCTTGAACTCCGGACCCATCGCATGGAAGGTGTGTGCGTTACCACTGTGACAACCAGTTCATGTTGGGGCTGAGCAGAATTACCAAGGCACGTTTGTTCAGGTGTCGTATTCAGTGATAGTCAGTCAGTTTGTTGTTAGTCTGATAACAACGAAAGTAAACACAGTTGGCTATCTGCTAACTCCAATCGAAAGCCTCGCACCAAACCAGATCTTCCACGCAGGTTAAGGGCTAACTGGCCACAAACCCACTAGGCTGAATGAACAACTTACACTTGACTCACAGCGAATTGCGATCAGTTGTGTGGCATAAACGATATTTATTTGAACTGACTCGAGGATTGGAGGTTACAGTTAACTGTGTGTACGTTCGTTGCTATCGGGCTAACAATAAGCTGACTGACTATCACTGAATACGATACCTGAACAAACATGTATTGGTAATTCTGTTCAGCCCTGGCATGAACTGGTAAGCACAGTGTTAACATAAGCCATCCATGCTGTGGGTTCAGAGTTAGAAACCCGGGAGGGAAGGTGAATAAGTGCTACTGATGAGCACGAATAAGAGCAAAACTCGAATCTAGTGCTTCCGAGTGTACGGTTGAGCAGAAGAACTGGGAAGTTCGGGTTCTAAAGTCACTTCGGTGAAACCCCGAAGTTGCACCGATGATGTTGCCTAGTCTGACCACGAAACGTCTGCGAACAACACTTCCAGATCGGATATATCTGGTGGTTGTCGTAACTGAAGTACGCACTGATCACGAAGTACGAATCACGAATTAGAAATCACGGCTGCAACGTAATTATTGGATCACACTGGTGCTTGCATGCAATATCCCACGTAAATGAGACAGGAGGAAAAGGTCACAGGATTGACAGTTCGTTTATTGAAAGAAATCAGGGGGATTAAAAAAAATTCATTCCGTTTGGGCCGCACGGTTTCTGAGCGATTGGTACAATCGATCTATGGTTTGTAGTCAAGAGCCTGTGACACGCACGTGCTTTGCTGTCGTCACATGGAAAGCTTGATTGAGCACAGTTGTCCGAAAACTGTAACGTGTCGCTCCGTGGTGTGCGTCATCTCGTAGGCGAGGATCATCGCGGGAACACACCAAAAACAAAGCCTAAATGTGCTAAGATGTCTTTCTATTTACAAAAGTGTTAGAGCTACGGGCCTTCTCATTTTCTTGCATCTCATTCAATGGACTGACCGTTTTAAGTGTTCGTTTTTACCGTTGGCGCCGAAAGATTCAACTGAAGCAACGGTTTTGTCTCCCATGCATGCATGACTCACGGAGTTTGAAGCTGTTGTGGCCTGCAGTCGAGTGATGTGCCCATCACGTGATTGACCGTTGCGGCCCGCCGCCACACACACGAACGCACCTCATGTGGACTTACTCTATTCAAGGTCGATCCGACTCAGCGAATCAGAGGTCAGTATTGATCTGTCCACATTGATTGGTTCGTTGACTTCCCAACGTGATGACATACTCCTTTTGGTAACGCTTGCGCCATTTCTGTGCCTGCCTGTCTGCGTGTTGACGCACTGCTTGCTCACCGGCTTACGGGCTGGCTGTTTGCGTTTACGTGCTGGAAATATAATTACTACTTAAATCATTACTTGCTTGCATATTGAATTAAACGGGATACAACAGAAGCCACACGTAGCAATCTGCCCTTGATATTTCCCGAGCACTTCTTCCGGTGTCCAATCCGTTTGTGGCTGACTTTTGGCTATTTAGTGTCACAGTTTGATCGGTACTCGCACTGATCCCGTCCAGGGCATCGTTTTTGGATTTCTTGTTTTTAGGAAGCTTCTTCCATCTCACCCTGGTCGGCATTGACTAGTAATGACTGGTTAGGACGTCTCAGTTTTTTCAAGGTTATTGAGTGTGACGTGAGCATGATCGTGGCTTACACCAGGCTGTCAACCACTGACTCATCACGGTTGCCAGTTGCCATACCTAAGTGCAAACTCGGAATGTTTATCGCACCCATTTTAAAATCGAGTTGTATGTCTTAAGTATGTGGTGAGTGCAATACTTTTGTCACATTGAAAATTCGGTTGTTTTGACATATTTTCGTGAAAATTGAACATCATTCGATGGGATTTCCTATCTCGACTTTTCATCCAGTTTTTGTCTAGACTCTCCAAAATGATGATGATGGTGTTTGTGAGAGACCGGAAATAGTTCAAAAATTCAGGAGTGAGGGAAGTGCATTACATTTGTCCCGGAGTGTTTCAATGTGCACCTGTGTGTACCGTTTAGCATATAGCAAAACAGATAGCAACAGAATCAGCTATAACCGCAAATTTCACAGAAAAACTAATTTCGATTGAGCAAGAACCCCGACACTGTAATTGTCAGGGAGTCAGTATGCTCCCTGAAAACTGCTTTCTTTTGGGACAGCCAATCAGAACAACGATAGGCGAACTCAGGCGATTAACTGGAACCGCCAACCAATCAAGAGGCTTGACAGCAATCCAGTCAACCAGTCGTTCGATACATGCATTCTTTTGTCCTCGCTCTTTCCTATAAATAGGCATGCTTTTGCACGATAAATTAATTCCTATACGCTTCCAGTTGTGCTCTATTTCATTAGTTGTGAAGTTCCTCTCTGGACGAGAAACGTTACCCGCAGACGGCCCTTTTAAGAATCCAGTCCGGAGTCAAATAATGTGCAGTAATCATTACCCCAGACTCGGTGAATAAGCTCTGGTTAAACAGGATGAAAGTACCACAATGACCTGGTTGAGAATACAGAATAAATTGGAACATGTAGGTTCTAATGCACTAAACTCGGGTGTCAAACGATCGATTTGGTCCACTGTCTGGAACTCAGTTTAGATCCACTTACTTTATGAAATCCTCGGTGCAAGATTGCAATAACTCATCCATATTTCTGGAAATAGGACAGAGTACAAGAGAGAGAGCGGTTGCAGGGGGATGAACAAGGATAATAAAACCATTATAAAAATCCACAGGTGTTTGCTTTCATGAAAATGAAACTAGTAGACAAATCACTGGAATGAGGATCCATCATGTTTTTTATTTATTCCACACCTAAGTATAACGAACAGCAGACGGGGCAAACCCCATAGTCACGAGGACCTGCTGTTCAGTGGTGGAAACCTATAGCCTAAGCACCGGGACTTGGAGTGGCGAACCACATAAGGCTCCGATATATTAGGCGTGGTATTGACCCGAATGATAGCAAAGCTGCCTAACACCAAAGTCGGGTGGTAGTGGAGGGATTCGAACCTCGGATCATCGAGTCCAAAGCACGCCGGTGACAGAAGTCAAAGCGTACTCGGTTTTCTGCACCCAGCCATGACTCAGTTATTCACGGAGAACTTGGGAGATGTGCAGTGACACTGCGTTAATGAATAGGACAGGGTTTGCAATTGTGGTACGGGATAAGATATTTGTGAAGCCAATGTTGTNTTGGTAAGTAAAGAAATGTAAACTATCAATTGGTGGTCAAATGTTTTCTTATCTACATGACTAACAAACGAAAAGAATCACTGATCTTTTGCCGTCTTAGGTTGGAAAGTTTACTTTTCACATTGTAATCGGTTCTTATAACAGACAATCGAACTTTATTGGATCGTTGATGCAGTATTGAAAATCGGT